TAACATAAACGAACTCTAAAGAATTTTGTCGATATCACGTGATCGAAAAAAAAATTGGTGGCGATGCTGGGGAAGATATAGCCACCTTTTGCTGTGGGACCCCCCATATGTCGATTCAAAATAACGCCCATGCGTCCCAAAATAAAGCGCATCCCATATTATGTATTTTGAAAAAAGCCAGGTTCAAAAATAGGGATGTTAAAAAGTCCGTTCGGTTCGACCCAGCTCCGGTTCTTAAAAAGTTCGGGTCTAACTTAGCAGTTTAATTTACAATATAGATAATCTTGAAAACAAAAATGCCAAAAGTATTCATTATTCCCATTTTATCTGGACTAGTTTCAGACCTGCCCTAAAAAGTTCGGTCCTAGACCCAGTCCGAGCAAGTCCCTTGTGGGCTATTTAACATCCTATTCAGAAATTCAGCCTATACATTCAAAATAACGCCCATGGGCGTACTCGAAATAGCACGCAGGTAGTCAAAATAGCGCACAGATGCCCGTTATTTCGAGATTTTACGGTACTAATAAACCTGAATACATTAAAGAAACTATAAGTATAAACCGACCCTTTTAATTTACGGTTGACAAACACAAATACACTACGTTACAATACCCAAACAATTTTAAAAACTTCACTAATCTAACTGTTGTAACCTAAGAGCACCAATTTAACAACGAACTCAAACCGAATACCGGACATACTAAACACTTAGATCCACACAAAAAAGCCAGTATGCTGCCAGATCTAACAAACTAATTCCCATAAAATCTAATACGCAGGACATAAAAGTATTAAGATCTATTCTTAATAAATTAAAGGCAATAAAAAGTTCTTATTACGTAAAATTTATGTTTTTGATCGTCTTTTTTAGTACTTTCGGTTGTCTCTTTCTGGCATTTAACACTTATATGTAGTAACGAATAGTAAAATATAGTAGAATATTCACTTCTAAGTGAAGTTCTCCAAGTTACTGATTATTTCTGATTATTTTTGAATAATGAATGTTGACTCTCTTCCGCACGTAAATGGTATTTACTGTGATTTTTTGTTAGTGAAACGTTACGTTCTCAAAAAGTACTTTAAAGTGTATATAAGTTCAGAAGTTACCCGGTCAATTGATTTACGCCAGCCAATCATATGAAAGTCTTCCTATGTTTGATCTAATATTCTGGATTTCTTTAGGATTTGACCAATTTGGCCAGTAATTTGATATTGCGTGTCTCTAGTCTAAAGCCTTTTATGATACGTCCAACTAGGGTGTGAAATGGGCCGAGTTTTGATTAGACCCATAATTGACCAAGAAATATTTTTGACCCGGTTCAGAGAAAAAAAAGTCTCGTGAGTAGGTCTATTTACGTAAAAACTAGAGCCGAACCAAGTACAGCCCATTGGGCCTTTAATAGCCTTTACCATAAAAATTTAAATAATTACTATATGGCAGATATGAAATAATTTTTAATACAGTCGTCCTCCTCTATAATCACGCTGTTTGTTTTACATAAAAAAGATGTGATTATAAAATTTTAATAGTAATGTGATTATATAAGTTTTTTTTAATAAATATATTGCCAATAATTTTCAAAAAATGGTGACTGTAGAGGAGGACGACTGTATTTGTATTAAAACAATTTATTAATAAACTTTATGCTTATAAATAACTTTAAAATCTGCGGCTTTGCCCCAAAATCCTATCCCAACAGTACGTGCGTGATTCCGAATACATAATCCCGACTAAGACAGAATATTGACAAGTCAAATCTCGACTAACACATAATCCAGTTTAAAATCCTGAGATTCAAAACTCCGAATATGTACTGTCGGGATTTTGACCATTGAGATTTGAATATCGGGATTTTAAACTGTCGGGGTTACGTACTATCAGGATTTTAGATGTCGGGATTTCGGGTAGAACCATAATCTGCCATTTATACTAACTTGCTAGCTTTAGTCAAAAAATAAATAATTGAGTGTCGTTAAAAGAAACCCCGAAAATTTAAATATGACTTATATTTAAATTTTCAGTTTTTCTTTTAACGACACTCAAATAAATAACTTGTTTTTTTGCAAATAATACATATATCAAAGTAAAAACCAAAAAGAAATTTTGTTAAGGTATAAAGATCGGATATTTTAGAAAGTTTTGTAAGTTTTATAAAAGCAAGATGTATAACCTTTGTGTAATATTGCTATGTACAGATGTAAATCGATCAGTAATTTCCTGATTGCCATTCAAAAAAGACACGCGAATTGACCAATCACAATCGAAGTGTGATATATCCATTATCGATTAGAAAATCTTCGTTTTATGTAAGCTTGAGCATAGTCTTATCCCCAATTTTCAAGTAGGTTACATTACTCGTTTATATCAAACTTAAAGCATTAAATAAACTAGTATTTAATTTGGTTACCATGGCCTATTATGTACTAACGGTTTTATTTTGTTTTTTATTAGATTGCCCTTGATTTCGCTGCATATTTTTACGTTTAACCGATTTTATGCTCCATGAATTGCTTATAGGTGGATTATTCTCTTCTAAAAGTTCAAGTTTTTTACGAAATTTCTGTAGTCGTTTTTTCTTAGAGTATTTTTTAATATCATTTTCTACCAAATGCTCAGGACGGTAACTGTTGAAAAGTCGATAACAGATAAATATTTAGAATATTACTGTCACAATCATAAATGTTATATATTAAATACTCACGGTGCGATTTTCTTTAAAGACACGTATTCATTCAAATCTTGGTCATCAGCTAAAAGGATTTCGACGGGAGTCAGCCCGAATGAAGTTGAATTAACTTGCTTATACTTGAACCTTGTAGGAGTATCACCAATCTGTAATACATATATAATTAATATTTGAATTAAGTATAAATGCAGTAGAAACAGGATATTTTAATTGATTTACAATATCTTCGTAATCCAGTTGGTAATATTCGTCCAAGTACTTATCAAAAGTTTGTTTGGCTTTTTTCTTTTGTTCGTTTTTCTCTCTTCTTTTTTCAGATTTTTCTTTGTATAAAAAAATCAAAGGGTCAATAGAACATAGTAATTTTACAATGTGAATGACTGAATATTTAATATAAACAAAATCTACTTTTTTTAGGCATTGTCTCATCGTATTTTTCACCTCCAGGTAAATAATCCGCATCCATTATAAAATCATTATCGTAATCAACATTGTCTTCAGAATCGTCCTCTTTTATTTTTTCAGGATTAGAATTCTTGTATTTATCAATAAGATCTTCAATATCCTCTTCCCATTCTGGTTTATCAGTATCTACCTTAATAATAGAGATAATACGTTAAAGTTTTGTATATAAAAGCAAATATTGAAAAATATAAAAAATACCTCTTGAGCATAGTAATTACTATCAAAGATATTATTCATTTTTTCGTCATATTTTTCAGGATCAAAGTCGTCTTCCAAGTCGACCTCATCAAATCCAACGGCTAAATTGAATCAGATAGTTGATTATAATTCTTATAATTCTAATTGTAATGCCACGATAATAAAACAATGAATATTGATGAGTACTTTCGTTTCCCGTTATTTCTTTTATTTTTTGCAATTTTTCAAAGATTTCTTTCTTTTTGAGGTTTTTAAGCCTTTTAAGTTCCTCCATTTTACGTTTCTTTTCGTCACTCTTACGCTCAGAGCGTATCTGGCGTTGAATTTTGCGTTTATTGTCAGATCTATGTAAAAAATTGAAATAGTTAATAATAAACATAAACTTTAAGAATTAGTGTTTTGAGACAATATATATACCTTCGTACAGAATCGACCACATCCCTGGAATATGTGGCGACCTTCGTTCCACCTCTAAATTTATAAAATTGTATTAATTAAATTTAAACAGGACTAAGTATAAATATAAAATTGTCAATGATAAATTATAACTTACTCTTCTTCAAATCGAAAATTGTACTTGCTTTCGAAATTATCAGCTGCTTCTTCAAATTCATCATTCTCTTCGTCATGATGTTCCAAAATTAGTTCTTCATACGTCGGAATCCGAGTAGCATTCTTATCAATCCAACCACGGTTAAGTATGTAACTAGAAGATAAATCATGAATATTTAAAGGAAAAGTTTTATATGAAACAAAAGAATTCATACTCTATTAAAAAGGCTTCATCTTTGTCAACACTGGAATCGATTTTATAATTTTGCCATTCTTTAATAAATTCCGAATCTTTATTATTTCCCTAAAATATATATTATATATTTGGATAAGTATATAAATCTTATATACACGTTGTTTTAATAAGTAAACCAACAAAATAAATCGATGAAACAAACTCACAGCCATACTTTCTAATAAGAATGCTTGGTAATCTTCCTCTTCAGCTTTTAATTCTTCAGCAGTTTTTGATCGTTGAACCAAAAAATCATCGTCACCATCAATATTAAAATCAAATTTAGAAGCAGCTTTTTTAAATTCTTCTTTGAGCTTTTGCTCTTCTTCCATGGGTGTTAAATCAATCTCTGGCTTAATATTATCTTCAATAATATCATCGGATTCCAACAAAATTTGACGATGATAGTCTTTTAAATATATTGGCTTTTTTTCTGTCTATGTGCAATATGATAAAGAATCAATGTATTAGCATAGTTAACATAATCAATCTACTTTAGATTGTAAATAAACATACTTTTTTCTTTTGTTGCTTATCTAACCAATTTTGACGCGCCTTTTGTATTTCTTCATCTGTAATTAATTATTGTAAAAAGAAAGTTCAACTACATTAAAACATTACAAATTGGCTCGTATACTACCTGTAAAAAAATTAGACTTCATGTCATAAACTTTAGGATCTTTGTTTCTTATGGCTGAAATAGTCTTCATAATTTGCGAGTCAATTTCGGGGGTTACTAATTCACCATATTCATCTTCCTCTTCAGAGGATGAATCTTCCTCTTCGTCCATGTCCAGATCTCCATATTTCTCTTTAACTAGTTATTTTTAGAGGCATTTTATGTCAAATCTCTGGGGATCGTTAACGTTTAGATAAATAATTGTAGCATAAAAGGTTGGGTGGAACTACTCACGTTTTGAAAGCTCTTCTCCTCTTTTTCTTTCTTCATACTTTTTAGCAAATTCTTCGTTAATGGTTAATATTGGCGATTCACTTTCAAGATCCATTGTAATTCAGAAATTTAAAGTTTTATCAATTTAACAAAATCATTATCATTATGATAATCTACCATATGCATGCACATGATATCGATATTTGCACTTTGCTTTTACCATAAGGTCTATCTTTTCGAAAATTTATCTTCTATTCATAATAATTGCGAGCAGCTATTTGCACTCTGGACCCTTTAGAGTAATACTTTTTCTAACTTTAATATCAATTAAACATTTCAATGAATTTTAATATATTTTCCAATATTTTGCGTTACATATAAAACATTGCTGGAGGATTTGTTAATTTAATCTTTACGCTTAGATACTTGACGTTTAAATACGATCTGGTGCACCGAAAAACATACGTTGTATGGGTTATTAAGTAAATTGTAGGTGCTATTAGGCACTAAGATACATAACTGGATGTGATTAGTTTGTTATAGAAACATACACTTTTACGTGTACTAAAGCCAATTTGCAGCTAGAACTTCGCGCGGCATTGACTTTGATGTATTAAAAATATCTAAAGTGACTATCTCAGGTAGCTATTCCAGATACAACATATATATACTGCAAAAAATAAATATATATAGTTTACACATGCAGTTGTTAAAAATAAGAATGTGAAATTTCGGTCATTGCTAAAACTACACACAAGTGATCCATATCCAAAAATAAAATTTATTGGCTACTTCCGTTAACATCAACTTCATTAATATCAAAACCTCGTCATTTTCAACCGAACAAAATTCCTGTATAAATGAAATTCTCTAACGCCACTTCCTCTTTAATATTGACTAAAATTCCTGGGTTTGAGGTTAACGTCAGCGAGGGACGATTATTGTATTACTTTTAGATGATTGGATTTATATCAAGATTGTTATTTTGCATTCATCCTACGCAGAATGTTAGAAAAATCAAACCTTCCTAATGAACAAACATACTAATAAGCTTGTCATGGTAAATTTGATAACAGATGGCATCAAACTTTTAGTTTTGTAGGAAATTCAAATGCGAGTCCAAGAAAGATAATTAAAAATCTACAAATAAGTCTTCAGTAATTAGGTTGCAATTCAATGGACCATTTTAATATTGATGGATTAATTCGATTCAAAAGATGACTAAATGAGGCCTGACGAAACTATTTTTGCATCGGAGAAATGATTTCGTCAAATTATTCGTTTGACGAAGCTTTGATGATTGACGTAGGGTGTCCTAAAATTATGCGAAATAAATTTTTTTTTAATTATGAGAAGCATCGGTTGGCAATATGTTACACGAGATCTGCAAGGGTTGTAGATCATTTTGGCACGAGTACACGTTTATACGTACTGTACGTACGATTTATGTAATCGCGCTTTGGTTTTCGTTTTTCTCTCATTACTTTTTTTGAATATACTATTTCGGCCATGCATAATAAGTCACATAACGCGTCGGACCTCTTTGTAAGGTGTCAATGTATTTCAACACGGGAGAGCTCAATATAGCGACTAGAAAGCGCAACATTATCCTAATCGAATTTAAATAATTCAATTAATTTAGCTGATGATAGAGATGCAGGCGAAACTTCCATACCTTGTTGTAACTATTGCCATAACTTGTCGTAACTATCCCTATAATGTGTTATAATTATAATGCGTTACGGCAATAGTTATAGCAAGTTACTGAGTTTTAGCTGACGAAATTTATTTCACCATTATCAGAGACAGCATCGAGTGTGATAAAAGGCAGTTCACGTCTGAAATCGCTTTCTACACGTTCGTTTATGAATATAACGACTATTTTGCTGTGCGTTTTAAACTTAATCGGCAAATTCAAAACAATATCAGTTATATTTACTTGAAAGAATCATGTCCACCACCAAAAGCTTATAAGTTATTTGATTAGTTACCGTCTGTTTCGCGAGTCGACTTTCTTATTGAGGGCAGGTTAAGCATAGAGAAAACTATATTTGCAAACTTTACACTTTTTTAATGAAACGTTTTTTTAAAATAACACATCCATTATTAGATATTGAATCTCTATCGATAATTTGGTACGCCACTAATTAGGTATTTATTTGTTTGAATTTTAAATTTGAGAAACGAATTAAAAACTAATCGAAGCACAATTATAATTTATTAAGCAGGGTTGATGCGATATTTTACATTTGTAAACGATGAAAACGTTTCTTAATATTAAATTGAAATTTATTTTCTTTAATTTTCGAAGATTTAAGTTTAAATTATATATGTGTTTATATTTCTTTTGGGTCACATGATGCTTGCCTCCTCGTGGCGTGATCTGGATAAATAATTTGACGTTTGTGTCAAGTTATAACTAAATAGCATCAAAAAAATTTTTAGAATTACAAAGTTTATTCTTTAAACCGTCTAGTAGGCAAATTTGCCCGCTTAAGTGATTTTTAAAAAGTTTTTTTGTTTTTTTAAAATTTATTTAAGCTTGACCCCTATTTATTGAATAAATTAAGGGTAGGGTGTACGTAGATCATTTTTCATATGATCTACGTGGTATATTAGATTTTTATATAGTAAATAA